TATATATATATATATATATATATATATATATATATATAAATTATTGGTAATAATTTTGCAAAAGTAGCCAAGATTGAACTCAGCCCTGATGTTTGGCCCAGCTCTGAGACACCCCTCATTATCTAGCAAGTGTTCTTACTGTTCGATGATCCTGGGCCAGCTCCATTCTGACTGTGGTCGTAGAACTGGGCTGAGAAGGTATGATTCCCCACCACCACTCTCCCCCCACCAAACACACTGTACTTCTGGAAGGAGTGGAAGTTTACAGGTAGCTGGGTGACAAACTGGGAATTTTTTGGACCATCTCTGGGTGATCCACTTTGTAGAATTCATATCCTTAAAAAGCCTTCAGTCTGAGAGTGAGAGAATGTGTAATGGGCCTCATTCCGAGACCCATTTCCTCAGATTAGGAAATGATTCGTCTTGTTTGACGTGAGGCTGAGAATCTGAAGAGAGGTGAGAGAGAGCGCCCTAGATGCCACACACGGGCGTCCTGCGTGCCCTCCTCCTATCTGCTCAGTGGGCCATTTATCTTTATAGTCTTCGGGTAATTTTATTTCCATCATCACTCATGAGCAACCACAGCGTGTTTTCTGTCTGTGCCTTGGGCTTTGTCCTTCTTCCTTGGTCAGGCTCACATGGCACCGTGGTTTACGGCACGGGCTGTGGAGTCAGCTGCCTGAGTTTTAATCCACGCCTGCTGCTTAATAGTTCTCTGATCTGCGGCATGTCGCTTGCTTCTCTGTTCTCCAGTTTCCTCATTCAGAAAATGGGATCCATAGTAGTGCCTGTCTCTTACTGTTAGCGAAAAAACCAACATTTCTGTACAGACGTACAGAGTTTAGTACATAGTAAGTGCTCACCAAGTGGTATTATTATTACTGTTATTTGCAACCAACAGAAATGCATTCAGCCTAGTTCAAGTATAAAGGGGTCTACTGACGTACAACCTAGCCCTAAGGGTCTGGCCGCGGAGATGACTCTCCCTCCCTCTCTTGGATGACCTGGTCTCCCACTTTGGTCAACACTGACATTGTCCCCACTGCTTCCTAGTGGCTTTTACCGGCCACAGTGCTGGGCCCAGCCCCTGCGCTGCATAAACTTTCAGTTCAAGTGCTCATGATCACCTAACTTAGTTGTTTCCAAACCCAGACACGTCAGAATCTCCTGGGCGGTTTGTGATTGTGACACACACAGGCTTCTAGGGTTACACACACACATACACACCCCTCACGATTCTGACTCAGCATGTGGAGAGGTTGGTCTAGAAATCCACATTTCACAAAGCTCCCCAGGTGGTTCTGCTGACTTTTGTAAACCTACTTACCTGCCTTAGTCTCTCAGCAACCCAGTTCCAAGTTCCTGGGAGGGGTGTCCAATACTTGATCCAGTTAGTTTTGAGGACGAGGGATGGGGACAGGGACCTATGGTGCTTAGGGATTGTGGGGACGAGGAGGCAGTGATGGGTGTGTTCATGCAGCTTTCCATGAATTATAAAGTGTTTTGGGGCATTCTGTTTGGAAAGAAGAGTATAATGTGTGGTTAGTGAAGGAGGTTGTCCTTTTCTTTAGAAAGGTAAAATACATTGCTTTAAGGAAGCACTGTTTCAAGGGAACATAAGTGAGCCTCCTAGCCACGTATTAATTAATAGAGCTGGCTCTCCTGTAGCCGTTTATAATGGCTGTCGTCCCCATCAGAGTCTGGACAGGCACAGCGTCCTTCCATGGGAACAGTGTCAGGCAGGTGCCAGCAGTAGGTGAAGGGGCCATGTTGATGCCCGTTGGGTGCACGCTGGGCACTGAGGGCTTCTCACCATTGGTAGGATGGGTTTGTCTGATGGGAACTTCATGCCCTTTCATGTGTTCTTGGGGGCCTCAGTAGCCAGGTAGAAAATAGTGAGAGGAGCCTGGATCAGACTTGAGGGGAAATATGCCTTCTCTGGTTCTGCCGTGGTTTGAACCGGAATGTGCAACCATCGCATATCTGTGACATGTTAATATCTGTCACAGAGTGACTTAGACAGTTAATTAAATGGTGTCAGTGTAACAAAAATGCTACTATTTATTGAGAAGTTACTCTGTACCAGGCTGTTGTGGTGGTTTATGTGTGTTAACTGACTGCATCCCCACCACCGTGAGCAGGTGCTTTATTGTTCCCGTTTACCAATGAGGAAACTGAGGGCAGACTTGCCGAGCCCAGCCCTGCAGGCTCCAGAGCCCGTGCTCCCAGCCATGTTGATCAGCTCCCGAGACACAGGTGCTTATGCCAGAAATGATAGGTACTGTTTTACTGTAACTTGAAAGTCATTCTCCTTTCTAAGACCTTTCTTTCTTTCTTTCTTTTAGGAAACGAAAGAGGAGAAGTCTTCCTATAACTGTCCCCTGTGTGAAAAGATTTGCACTACACAGCACCAGCTAACTATGCACATTCGTCAGGTTTGCCACCTTCTTTTGCATTCATGCTTTAAATGAGTCTTCAGCAGAGGACAGGTGACCTCGTTTTAATCGGCTGGGTTTCATTCAGATTTCATGTTTTAGTAGGTTGGGAAGTAAGTGCTGAATGATTGTTTTTGTGTATTTGTGTAATTGCTAGATTCTTAGGTCCACACAGACTACCTTTTAAGATTTTTTAAAAACATCTAGTTACTTGAATATATATGTATTCATGTATGTATATACATGTATGTATGTACGTCGAAGAAATGACTTTTCATTGTACAGGGTTTGTCAGTGTGAACACATCCCCTTTTGGTATAATGAGATTGTAGGTGTAGACCTCTGTCTTTATATTGGTATGAATTTAAGTCCTGCAGTAGGGAGTTTACTTGGTTTGGAGTCTTGGTTTTCTCCTGTATTATGAGATTTATTCTTCTTCCTCTCCTGCTATGGCAGACTCGTGAGAGCATAGATAAGTCTAGAACAATGAAGGACTAGAATGAAGGACATGGTACTGATAATAAAATAGTATTGTGGCTTTGGATAGAAATGTCCCTATTCCAGAGGCAAAACCCATCTACTATCTGCAGGTTTGGGTTCTCCTCTGAAGAGGGCTGTTGACTCCTAATACTTCACATGTCTGCTGCATAGCTGAGAGTCCTTCTGCTCATACGAGTTAGTATCTGGTCAATTCATCTATCTGTGTTTCATAGAAAGTCTTGCAAAGACTTCCACCCCTGAGCCTTGCAGTGGAAGTATTTTTCCAAGCTGCAACGTGGGGTTGGAAGATCATACCAACTAATTATTTACCTGTATGCCTGATAACATGTTAATGTTACGGAAGACGTCTTCATTTCCTAGGCCTAAATAACAGAGGACCACAAAGTGGGTGGCTTTAAAGAATAGACATTTATTGTCTCCTGGTTCTGGAGGCTAGGGGTCTGAAATCAGGGCATTGGCAGGGCCATGCTCTCTCTGTGTAGGGGGAGATTCTTCCTTGTGTCTTTTAGTTTCTGACAGCCCTGGACATTTCTTGGTGTTCCTTGACTTGTAGATATATTCTCACATAATGTCTTCTCTCCATGTGTGACACTGTTGGTGTCTGTTCTTCCCTTTTATAAGACACCACTCAGAAAGGGATAGGGGTATGACTTCACTGAGAATAGCTTCAACTAAAGTCCCTTTTCCCCTCCAAACAAGATCACATTCACAGGTACAGGGGTTAGGACTTCCATATACCTTTTCGGAAGACACGGTTCAATCCGTAACAGAAGATATTTAAAACAAAACAGTAAAAAAAAGTAGCTGAGATATGGCACTCGTTTTTTCAGTCAGCCTCTGAATTTGCATTTGGTAGTAGCTGAGCCTCTGACTCATCTTCTTAAGTCATCAGTGAGATTCTCGCTTCCACCAGCACAACACGGACACTGGAGGGACCGACCATTCCTGCAGCATCTGCGGGAAGTCGCTGAGCTCGGCCAGCTCCCTGGACCGCCACATGCTGGTGCACTCTGGTGAGCGACCGTACAAGTGTGCTGTGTGCGGCCAGTCCTTCACCACCAACGGAAACATGCACAGGTAGGTCAGGGCACCTTCACCTGGGAAGGTGGGCGGAAAGTACAGTAGCCTAAGCTGTCAGATGACTTACCAAAGGGGCAAAGGATTCTTGAGTTGTGCTCACTGCATTGAAAAGCCAGAAACGGTAATTGTTTACTGTGTTCCCTGTCCCTGGGGCATCATGGACGTCTGATCGTGGGAAACAAAGTGCTGGGCGCAGTCTTTGGCTCTCCAGGGTTCTTCAAAAGGAAACATTAAGAGTCTGTCCCACTCTGCCAATTGGAGTTTCTTGGTTTTGGTGCAGAGGTGGGCATCTTCATGCAGAGTAACCTTCGGGGTAGCATCCATATGACCCTGCTTGTTCAAAAATTTTGCCGTATGCCTGCCAGATCACTTGTAGTCCTTTTCCTTCCAAAAAGTTTCTGGAACCTTTTAATAAATGGCTTGGTCCTGGAGCTTGGGGATAGGATTAGGACAAGATGAAGAGAAAGAATATCTGATAAATGTCAGGAAATTACTTCCTGAGAGAGAGGAATTCGATTGCCCGCTCAGAAGTGGACAGAGAGAGCAGTCATGGGCATGTTCAAATGTTGTGGGACAAACCAGTGAAAGTATACTTTAGAGAGTGCTTGCCTATATTTTGAGGGGATAGAACAGAAAGTCTTTTTTTAAACACTTAACTTTTGTTTACACAAACACGTTAGGAACACTGATACTCTAGGAAAAGAAAACAAGGAATTCAAAATTTCGCTTTTTCAGAAAATCAGGCTATTTTTATTTCTCCACGGTCTCTTGTCATTATCCTGCTTTCTTTTTAAAACTTGACTGACTTTTTTTATGTATTTATTTTAAAATAAAACTTCATGTAACTGTTGTTATGTAATAGCTGTATTTTCTTAATATAATTATATTTTATGTTAGAATATTTGTTATACTTTAAGTATAAATATTCTGTATGTTTTTATCAGTACACAGCAAGTGCTGGTTATATTTTTGTCAGTGTATAGCAAATACATATATAAATAGTAAAATGAAAAATGGTCTAATTTATTCTACCTAAAAAATCACTTTATGAACAGCAATGGTGTATATACTTTGGGGCACACTGGTATAGTGGTAATTTTCTGGATTTTGGAATTAGGCACCTGAATTCAAATCTGAACTCTGCCACTTGTAAATTTTTTGTCTTTGGGCAAGTTACTTAGCCTTTTTGTGCTTCCGTTTTCTTATCTATAAAATGAGATTATTAATAGTATCGACTTCATTGATACTTGAGCACCTTGAGGACTATCGTGCGCCTCACCCAAGCCGTGGTGTTTTTAGTCACCTCATATACATGAGGAAGCTGGACAATGAATAAGGAAGACCAGAGAAGAATTAATGCCTTTAAATTATGGTATTGGCAAAGAATGTTAAATGTACCACGGACTGCCAGAAGAATGAACAAATCTGTCTTGGAAGAAATACAGCCAGAATACTTCTTAGAAGTGAGGATGGCAAGGCTTCATCTCACGTATTTTGGACATGTTATCAGGAGAGACCAGTTCCTGGAGAAGGACATCATGCATGGTAGAGTAGAGGGTCAGCGAAAAAGAGGAAGACCCTCAACGGGATGGATTGACCCAGTGGCTGCAACAGTGGGCTCAAAGGCTGCAACAGTGGGCTCAAACATAGCAAGGATTGTGAGGATGGTGTAGAACTGGGCAGTATTTCGTTCTGTTGTACATGGCATCTATGAGTCGGAACCGACTCCACAGCACCTAACAACAACAGCTTCTTTGGATCAGCATGAGGACTAGGAAATAATGAGTTTAGCACACAGTTCCTGGCACATGGTAAGCCCTCAATAAATGTTACCTTCTATTATTATTATTTGCATTTTTAAGTAATACTGCAATGATTTAAAGCCTATAGATTTCTCAGTCTAAACTCCTAGAAGGTATAAGATGACTTCCTGAAAAGTATGAATGTTTTAAAGAGTTCTAGCTTTTTTCTCCCCCTTCTCCATATAAATTTCGATCCTGATGGGTCATTCCCTTTACCCTTCTCCTCCTCCTAAAAGAGTGTTCTCTGGGTTCAGAGAAGGAATTGACTAGTGTCACCGTTTCTTATTATATTCTACATTTTAGCTTTCTGTTACTTACCACGCTGTCAGCCTATTAGTATCCTTATGCCTTCTGTTTAGACCTCCTTTTTCTACTCCCAAGCTCCTCCCTGCCCTTCTTCCCAAAAGTCCTATTTCTTTTACATGTTTGCCCTTCTCAAATTCTGGTCCTAGAGGGACTGCCCCTTCCTTCTTGGGTGGTTTCCCCACTTTCTTCTTCCAGCCCGCCTGCTCCACTGCCCACACCATGGGCCAGCTCTGAGTGACAGAGGGCAGGGGAGCATTAGTGAGAAACACCCTTCTTGTGGCTGTGTAACCCTGACTGTTTCCTGCTTATGATCCTTTGAGACCTCTCTGGTCTTAGGCCCAGCCACTCCTGATTTGGAAAGCTTCCACTGTGAGACAGTGTCTGTGATAGAACATAGAACATGTTAAACTGAACCTATAAGAGGCATAGTCACTGTCTTCTCCAGGGATGCCTCTGGGAATGCATTTTAAAAAGTAATAGCTAAAGCTGTGGCACACCGTGTATCAAGACACTCGGCTAAGCGCTTCGCGTTTATTTTATTTTTTACGTTTCCTTTTAATTTTATTTCCATACCATACATTTCACCCATTTACAGTATACAATTCAGTGTTATTTAATATATTCACAGAGTTGTGCAACCATCACCACAAACAATTTTAGAACATTTTCATCACCCAGAAAGAAACCCTGTACCCATTAGCAGTCACTCCTCAATTACTGCCAGCCTCTTCCCTCGGCTGCTGGTAGACACTAATCTACTTTGTGTCTGTATAGATTTCCCTGTTCTGGACATTTCATATAAACGGAATTACACAATATGTGGTCTTTTGTGGACTGACTTCTTTCGCTTAGCATAATATTTTCAAGATTCATGCATGTTGAGTGAGTCAGCATGAGTCAGTACTTCACTCCTTTTTACTGCTAAATAATACTCTATTGTATGGCTGTACTACAGTTTATCACAGATTAGTTGATGGAGAGATATTTGAGTTGCTTCTGCTTTTTGCTGTTATGAATAATACTGCTGTGAACATTCATATACATGTCTCTGTGTGGACGTATGTTTTCCTTTCTCTTGTGTGTATACTGAGTAGTAGAATTGCAGGGTCATGTAGTAACTCCATGTTTAACACTTCGAGGAGTTGCAAAATGTTTCCCAAAGCAACTGTACCATTTTACATTTCCATCATCAGTGTATGGGGTTCCAATTTCTCTACATCCTTGCCAACACTTATTATCTGTGTTTCTGAGTATAGCCATCCTAGTGGTTGTAAAGTGATATCTAATGGTAGTTTTGATTTATCTTTCTCTGATGGCTAATGATGTTAAACATCTTTTCCTGTGCTTATTTGCCAATTGTACATCTTTGGGAAAGTATGTACTCAGATCTTTGCCTAATTGTTAATTCAGGTATTTGTTTTTTTATTTTTGAGCTGTAAATTCTTTATTCTGGATCAAGTCCTTTATCAGGTAGATGGTTTGCAAAGGTTTTCTCCCATTATTGGATTGTCTTCTTTTTCTCAGTGGTATAATTTACAATGCAGAAGTTTTAAAATTTGATTTTTCTTTTGTCACTTCTGCTTTTGGTGTCATATATAAGAAGGCTTTGCCTAACCCAAGATCACAAAAATTTACTCCCATATTTTCTCCTAAAAGTTGTATAGTTTTAGGTCTCCCACCCATTTGAGTTACTGTTTGTCTCTGGTGTGAGGAAGTGTCCAGTTTCATGCATTTGCTTGTGGATGTCTGGTTGTTCCAGCACCATTTGTTGAAAAGACTATCCTTAACCCATTGAGTTGTCTTAGTGCCCTTGTCCAGAATCAATTGACCGTAAATATATGGACTAATTAATGGACTCAATTCTGTTCCATTTATCTATATGTCTGTCCTTATGTCGGTGCCAGTCTGTCTTTATTACAGCAGCTTTGTAGTAAATTTCGATATTAGGAAGTGTGAGTCCTCCAACTTAATTCTCTTTCACAATTGTTTTGGCTCTTCTGGGTTGATTGCATTTCCATATGAGATTGCATTTCCATATGAGTTTTAGGATCACTTTGTCAATTTCTGCAAGAAAGGCAACTGGGATTTTGATAGGAATTGCATTGAATCTTTAGATTTGGGGAGTATTTCTACCTTAACAATATTAAATCTCGTGATCTGTGAACATGGGATGTCTCTCCATTTGTTTAGTCTTTTTGGGATTCTTTCAACAGTATCTTAGAGTTTTCAGAGTACAAGTTTAATGTTGTTGTTGGTTGCCATTGAGTCGAATCTGACTCACGGCAACCCCGTATGTGCAGAGTATAGCCATTCCATAGGATTTTTAAGGCTGTGACCTTTCAGAAGCAGATGGTTAGGCCTGTCTCCCAAGGAGCCTCTGAGTGGGTTTGAACTGCCAACCTTTCAGCTAATAGTTCAGTGCTTCACTGTTTGCGCCACCCACAATGGAATTGTTTTGTAATGTCAATTTTGGATTGTTCGTTACCTCTTGTTGGTGTGCTGTGGAATCGGTTTTCAACTCCTTGTGACCCCATGTGACAGAGTAGAAATGCCCCATAGGGTTTTCTAGGCTGTAATCTTTATGGGAGCAGATTGCCAGGTCTTTCTCCCGCAGAGCCACTGGGAGGGTTCGAACCACCAGCCTTTCGGTTAGCAGCCAGGTGCTTAACCATTGTCCTACCAGGGCTCCTTTGTTCTTTGCTAGTATATAGAAATGTGATTGACTTTTGTATATTGATGATGTATCCTGCAACGTGGCTGAACTCGATTATTCGTTCGAATGGTTGTTTAGTGGATTCCTTAGGATTTTCTATAAATAAGATCATGTGACCTACAAATAGTGATAATTTGACTTGCTTTCCAATCTGGATGAATTTTATTTCATTTTCT